AAGAAAGAAAGAAAGAAAGAAAGAAAGAAAGAAAGAAAGAAAAAGAAAGAAAGAAAGAAAGAAAGAAAGAAAAAGAAAGCAAGCAAGCAGAAAGAAAAAAAGAAAAATACAAGCTCTGGTGTGCTGTGATTCTATGCTAGAACTCCAAGCTGGAGTTCTAACGGAAGAGGAAATGCAGAAAAGAAGTAGGGGTAGGTATAAGTACAAGGATGACTCCCAGAGGGTACATGAGATTATGGCTTTAAATTCATTGACACAGAAATTATGGGAAATAACAAATTATTACTGTCATTTTTAGATATTTTTTATTTAGTTTAAAATTTCTCCTATGAGTCACAGAGACAAAGAGGCAGGCACTCAAGACAGATAAATGGATTGAAAAAGTGTGGGACATAAATACTATGGAATACTACTCAGCCATAAAAACAATGAGACCTTGGCATTTGATAGAAAGTGGATGAATATGGAAGATTAAATGCTGAGCAAAGGAAGCCAAACTATGAAATAGAGACAAATGTAGATTTTTGCTATAGGATACGTGTGTTCACTGGAGAGAAAGAGAGACAGAAAGCAAGAAATCACCATGGGAGTGGCCACACCTCAATCCCTTCTCTTCCATTTTCCTCTCAGGATTTTGAGCATGCATACACACACACACACACACACGTTTGAGCAGTCATGCACACACACACACACACACACACACACACACCTGGCATGAGTTTAAGCAGCTGAGTCCAAGACTCGAACCACAGACAACTACATGGGAGTCCAGTGACATAACCATTACACCATCTGCTGGTCCCTATTAAGTGTCACCTTTGTGCTAAGCAGTGAGATGTGTGCTTGACAGGCAGAGTGTCTTGTCATTCAAACAGGCAGAGCATGTGGTCAGAAATTACTCAAATCAGGATCAGCAATTAACGTAATGGCTATGTGGCTGAACTCCCATGTAGTCAACCGCGGTTCGAGTCCAAGACCCGGTGGCTTAAACTCACGCCAGGCGCGTGTGCATGCGTGCCTAAGATCCCGAGAGGAGAATGGAGAAGGGATTGTGGTGTAGCCAACCCCCCTGGGGGGTGATTTCTCACTTTCTGTCTCTCTCTTTCTGGTGAGTGCATTCACCCTATAGCAAAATCCCCTCCCAAAGAAAGAAAAAAAGAAAAAAAATTACTCAAATCACCTTAAAGGAAGTGTTCTTATAACCTAGAGATACTGGATGGGCATTGCATATTCTGTGAAACTCCCTGAAAGGTTGTGCACTGTTGGGGAATATCTTGAATACAAGGAGAAAAGGCATTCAGATGTTTAGAGTGCCTGGAAATATAACTCTTGTTGCCATCTGGTTTAATACATCAATCCATATATGACTGAGAAAAAAATTTATATTTCAGAGGTATTTAAATGTCCCCCAGTATTTCTTTTCTCCTTATTCCATAATAATGGAATTCTACCCATGCCACCTGCTGGCTCCTTATTGTTTATTTTATAAATTTAATCTCTGTATATCACTACAGCTTGTAAATTTAACTTACCCAACATGAATGCACTTCACATCTGTCCAGTTGAAGATATCATATATGTTATCATCAAGAGATAATCCTCCATTTCTGTGTCCCTTAAATATCTTGCCTCTCTATTTTTCTCCTTGATTCCTTTCCTCTCATTCTCCCCCTCTTCCCCCCTCTTCCTACACTGTCTCCAGCATCCATAATCTTTTTCCATTTTTTCCATGCTTCTGTAGCCACTAATCTTTCTATTTGAGTCATGAGGGGTGTGTGTGTGTGTGTGTGTGTGTGTGTGTTTTAGAAGGATAGGGTCACTTTGTCTCTTGACTTTTCTCGTTTCTCTCCTCAATCATATGTTACCCTCTCAGTCTCTGTCTCATGGAAACTTTGTTCCCTGTCCTTTTAGTATTCTATCTATATATTTCTTTAATTTTCCTTTCTTAAAAAGTTTCTTTCTGGGACCAGTGGATGGCATGATTGTTACATCACTGAACTCCCACGTAGTCAACCATGGTTTAAGTCCTGGACCCGGCAACTTAAAACTCACACTGGGTGTATGTACATGTGTGCCCAAAATCCCAAGAGGAGACTGGAGGAGAAGGGACTATGACATGGCTATCCCCCCTGAGGGATGATTTCTTGTTTCCTGTCTCTCTGTCTCTCCAGTGAGCACACACACCCTATAGCAAAAATCTTTTCAAAAAATAAAATAAAAACTTCTTTCTTGGGCTAGTTGGTGATGTGGTGGTTAGGACAGCTGAATCCCTAGCCTCTGTCAGCCTTGGATTGTGGGCATGCATCTCTGGCATGTTCAGAGAGGTCTCTGGATGCAAACTTATAACCTTTCATTTGGGTCCACCTTACAGAGTGTTGCATTACTGCTGAATCACTGTTTGGCCCTTATATTTCTTTTTGTCTCTGTATCTTCTTTGGTATTTATCTTTGAGTCACTGACTATCTCACTCGCTCTATCTCTCTTTGATTGCTATTCTGATCTCACTCTGGTTCTGTTTCTCTGCACCCCTTCTCTCTTCATTCCTCTCAGTCTTGGTCTCTATCTCTATCGCATGAAACCTGGTACAACCTGCCTGTCTCTGTCTTAAGTTCTCTGACATTATTTTTCCTTTTCCACTTGCTTCCAGTCTTCAGTTCAAATGCCTTCACTCTTGGCTTCCTTTCTGGAAGTGGGATGGTGAGGGCTCAGGAGACTTTCCCTCTCACCTCTTGTACAGTGGGAAGACCATACGCATTGTTCCCAACACCATGACACACATCACCACAGCATAATTAAGAGACTAACCCTGAATGGATGTAAATATGTGTGAGGGAAACAGAATGGGGGTGGGGGGTAAGACCATCAAAGGTAATATCCTAGAGATGAATCTCTACTCCAAGAAAGACATCCTGGAAACAGATTCAGCACCTGGATGGTGGTGCTGTATGAATCAGTCAGATTTCCCAGAATTCCCACCACTTCTCTCAGACACAGAATGACTCACCTTAGCTAACCAGATCCTATTCCCAAAACTGCAGGTTCCCTAAGGGATTCAGTTTCCAAATCCGAGAATCCAGACACGTGAGAAGGGCATAGGATTTTATTTAACAATATATATGGGTGGGACATAATACCCAGGAATTTTGTTTTCAGACAGTAAAGAAGATTTGAAAATATTTGATACAAAAAGAATTGAGAACCACTTATAATTATTTTTATTTTTTTGGCTATAAAGCACTAGAGAGAGAGAGAGAGAAAGAGCAAGAACTCACCCCCTACCCCCAGTGTGATGTGGTTATGTTGCAATCCTTCTTCCCATTCCCCCTTCTTATTGGGATTTTGGGCACACATGATTTTTTTAAGCTGCCAGGGCCGGGATTTAAACCATGCTTGACCATGTGGGATTTGTCTCCCTTAACTACTGAGTTACAGGGCCAGCCAGGGGACCACTAATTTAAATTATTAGATAGAGTTGGGAGTTAGCAGGTGACATGATGGTTAAGGCACTGGATTCCCAAATGGCCAACCATGGTTCAAGTTCTGGACCCAGCAGCTTGAAAATCATGCTGGGCACATGTGAATGCATGCCCAAAATTCTGAGGAAGAATAGAGGAGAAGGGATTGTGGTGTGGCCATCCACTTGGGAGATGATTTCTCAGTTCCTTCTCTCTCTCTCTCTCTCTCTCTCTCTGGCAAGCTCACACACCCTATGGCAAAAACTTAAAAATAAGTTAATTAATGTCATCCCTAATTAAAGGATGAAAAAAGGAATTATTCCTGTTGTCTATCAAGACTTTCTTTAAAAAATGGGGGGAACCCAGTGAAGAAAAGATGGAGCTAAAACTTGAACCTAGATTCCCTGAATCCTAAACTCAATAGCTTAAAGAGATATTCAACTGCCTCCCATACTCCACTAAGAAATGTTAAACCAGGGGTTGGGCTGAGAAAGAAAAACTAAAGGACTAGAAATATAAAGAAAGGGAATGGCCCCAGTAGATTTTGCTGGGTGGATTCCATTCATCTTTATTCAGATGGGAGATTATAGGTTATATAACAAGTTCCTAAATAAAGCAATCTCTTTTCTGATTGTATACACCCTGAAAACTCAAATCCCAGGGTATTCAGATGTTGGTATAAAATGATCTCCTAAAACCTATTTAGGCAGGACCTGGCCCGCAGGACGCAATCCTTTCACCTGGCACCATGGAGTTAGGAGGGGCCTTCACCATCTTCCTGGCACTCTGTTTGTCTTGCCTGTTCATCCTCATTGCCTGGAAACAAAGGAACAAGGGGGGAAAGCTTCCCCCGGGCCCCACACCAATACCTTTCCTGGGGAACCTGCTGCAAGTTCGCACTGACGCTACCTTCCAGTCTTTCATGAAGGTGAGTCTGTCAGCCTCCTCTCACAGGGCTAGAAGTAATTCATCCTAAACCCAGATATACACAGAGCCTTATGGTTTCCAAAACATAGAGTCTTGAAAACACAGACTTTGTAACCTTAGCATTCTGAAATTTCAGAATCTTAATGTATTGGAAACAAATTCTTAGCACATTGAAATAAGACTCCCACAATCTTTGAGGTTCAAAATGACGTTACCTTATATCCTTAAAGACAGGACTCTAGTATGCAGGTTGTCTAAGAACTTTCTTTAAAAAGCTTCATTTTAGAGAAGGCAGGAGACCCTCTGTGGGGTTCTCATGCTGCAATCCAACCACACTCTCAGTTGGCCAAGATGACAGGCACACACACGTACACCCAGCATGCTCAAGGAGGTCCTAGGATGCAAACCTAGGACCTTTCCCTTGTGGATGAAGTTGTGTTACTCCTGTTCTATTCCTGGTCCTGTCTTTGAACTTTGAGACTCAGTATCATAAACTCTCAATTCTAGAAAGTTAGCATTTCAGAGAGATTAGATCTTGGAGTTTATCTAATCTAGTCCATCTTTTTAAAATAAGGAAACAAGACTGTTGGGGTATGTGTCGGGGGAGGAGTTGTGGAATTTTTCCCCCCAGGATTACAACAGCCAACACGTCTATTCCTTTTTCCCAATAGATCTCCCAAGCCCAGGACTTACCAGTATTAATTATTTCCACATTTATATACTTCTGAAATCTCCATCCTCTAAAACCCTTTATTGATTTACACTCGGTAGTCCAATCTGCCTCCTCTTCTTGTATCTTCTTTCACTCCCAGCTCAGAGAGAAATATGGCCCTGTGTTCACTGTGTACATGGGTCCCCGGCCAGTAGTTGTCTTATGTGGACATGAAGCAGTTAAGGAAGCTTTGGTCGACCAAGCAGATGAGTTCAGTGGCCGTGGAGAACTGGCTTCAGTAGAACGAAACTTCCAAGGTCATGGTAGGTAACAACAACAAAACCAAGAATCATTATTGTGCATTTCTTACGTTAACGGGTTCTTTGGTAAATTCTCTGCATGAATGATTGCATTGAATCCTTTGAGAAAGCTGAGGGTGAAAAGGGTTGGGTAATATCACACAGGTAAGCAGTAAGGCCACTTAATTTGAACCCAAACCCAAACCATCTCACTCTAAAATACTGCTAAGTTATTTCTGTTCTTATATCTAATAGGTTAGTGATATTCTTTGTGGACCCACTGAAGCTCTCATATCCAACCCTTCTTATCTTTCTACACAGACACACGTACCTAACCCATATATCTCTGCCTACTTCATTTAAATAGATCCCTGTCTAGTGTTACCCACACGCCCTCTCTAACTACCTGCATCCCTCAATCCTAAACAGAATCTTCCTATTTTTTCATCATCCCACCCTTCTGTCTATTCCTACACCCTTTCTACTTTCTATCCATTAAGCCATAAATCCATCAAAACCTGTTCACTAAATATTCCTTTTGTACAAATGTCTTTGCATTCTATTGAGTTGTCAGAAAAGTTATGATGTATTTTTGGCATAGAAAAACAGAAAAATACGTCATGGCTTTTCTGATGACCCAATATCATCTCTCAGTATATATTTATCAATGAACTTTCCACTTAACCATCTGTTTATCATTGTGCTCATCCATTTATTAACCCTTCATCATTTATAGATATTTTAATCTATCTATTCATCCTTCCAACCATTAACCATCCATCTCAAACCATTCATCCATTCACTCTTTGCCCATCCATCCATTCATCATTCCAAGTCATAAATCTTGCTACCATTCATCCAGTTATTTATCCAATTCCAGACATCTGTCCTATAAGATACTCTCCCTTGATCTCTCCCAGTCATTCCTAGCCTGATTCCCTTTTCCTCCAGATCAGTCTGGACTGTTTTTGAGGTCCTGTGAGGAGAGAATCTTAATCTCCTCACTGAACCTGAAAGGTTTGGAGGAGCTCCCTCAAGAGTAGAGTTCAGAGCATTCATAAGGTGTCTCCATTCTTGTCTAGTAGAGTTGAACACAGGACATGGGGGAGGGGCAGGAGCCTGACACTGAGACTCTGGCAGGTGTGGCTCTGGCGAATGGAGAACGATGGAGGATTCTCCGACGCTTCTCTCTGACCATCCTTCGGGACTTCGGGATGGGAAAGCGAAGCATTGAGGAGCGGATCCAAGAGGAGGCTGGCTTCCTACTGAAGGAATTCCGAAAGACCAAGGGTATGGGGGCCACAAGGAGGAGGGCTACTAGACAACTGGGTGGTTATGGAGACTTCAGTCATGAGAAGATGAGTCTTGGTGAGAGAAAATTCTAGAATGCAAGAGGGTGAAAATTATTAAGGATTTGCAAAGATTTCCAACCAGATTCATGTTAAAAATGTACATAGAGGGACAAGCAGATGGTCTAATGATTACATCACTGGACTCCCACATAGGCAAACACGGTTCAAGTCCCCAGCGACTTAAAACTTACTCTGGGCATGTGCGTGTGTGCTAAAAATCCTGAGAGGAGAATGGAGGAGAAAGAATTGTGGTGTGGCCATCCTCCTTGAGAGGTGATTTCTCGCTTCCTGTTTCTGTGTCTTTGTCTCTCTGGCAAGCACACGTGCCCTACAGCAAAAACTTCTCCAAAAAAATGTACATTAGAGACCACTGTCCAGAAACTTTAATTGGTGTAGCTCAAGAAGTCTATTAATTCCTAATATTATACATAAACTTTGGCAATATGTGAACTTGTGACTTTTTCTGGAGACAGGATCATATTTCGTTATATTTATGTATTTCTAGTGTGGTAAAAAATAACATAAATAACATCTTAACCATTTTTATATCACTGTTTAGTGATGTTAAGTATATTCACATTGTTGTAAAACAAATCTTCAGAAATTTTTTGTCTTGAAAATCAGAAATCCTGTACTAATTTTATTATATTTTAAAGAAGTCCAATCTCTACCCAGAAACAGGATATGAAAACACTGGAGTCACAGAGGCTGATAAATACAGAGATATATAGATAAAAATATTAAAAGTAGAGATACGTTTCTCTAAATGAGAAGTTCCTCATCCATGAGTTATTAAGAGGATTTACAGAAGGCTTTTAATATTCATAAATCCCAAGAAATTACTTGTAAAATTATATAGCTGTGAATATGTTCATTGTTCTGGAGAATCTCTGGCAAGCACACGTGATCTGGCTAGAATATTGTTTTGTAGATGGTACAGATGAGGTCTAGGAGAACATTTTTTTTCATTTGTTTAAAGGCATGTGTGCACACCAGGGAGAGAGAGAAAGTGAAAAAGCATCCTCGCCCCCCCCCGGGGGGTGGCCACACCTTAATCCCTTCTCCTCTCAGGATTTTGGGCACGTATTTTTTAAACTGCCAAGTCTGGAGTTTGAACCATGTAGTTGGCCATGTAGAATTCAGCTGTCTTAACCACTATGCCACCAGCTGACCTGGAAATGATTTTTTTTTTCATTGTCAGAGGATGTGGGCACTTAACAGAGAGAGGGCATCCCCCAGTGGGGCATGGTTATGCTGCAATCCTTTTTCCTTCATTTTTCCACCACCAGGGCTAGATTTGAACTTTGGCTGGCCATGTGGGATCCGACTATGCACAGGGCCTAACTGCTATGCTATGGGGCCAGCCTGCCAGTGATTTTTGTAATACTCCAAATGAAATCACTGGTAGAGCTAGACAAAATCCAGGCATTCTTCTTTTTCTTTTTTAATATGTCCCTTACTACCATCTTTCTCCAAAATTTGTGACTCTCCACCACAAATACATTTAAGTATTGATAACAAAAACATGATTAATTATAAATAATAATAATAATTCTAAAAATAATGATTAAGCTCTGCCAGTATTTTTTTTCTTTTCAAATTTTATCCATTCATTTCTTCCATGAGAGAGAAAGAGAGACACACACATAGAGAAACAGGTGTCCCAACAGGGTATCCATGACACGATTTACCTCCAGCCTCAACCAGCCTGAATCACAGGCATGGGTGTCCCAAGGCCCAGGACTCCTATGTGAGTACAGTTGTATTATTGCTGCACCACCATCTGACCTTCCACCAGCATTTCTTAAGTGCTTGCTACATGCCAGCCACTGTACTAAGCACTCTACAGAAATAATTACCCTGAATCTTTATGATCCAATGTAGTGGTTTCTAAACCACTCTTCAGATTGGGAAATCTAGACCCAAAGACAAAAATTAAGCAATTCAGGTACCAGCAGTTAGTGTAATGGCTATGTCGCTGAACTCCCATGTAGCCAACTGCGGTTCGAGGTCCGGACCTGGTGGCTTAAACTCACGCTGGGCATGCAAGATCTCGAGAGGAGAATGGAAGAGAAGGGATTGCAGCATGGCCATCCCCCCTGGGGAGTGATTTCTTGCTTCCTATCTCTCTCTTTCTGGCTGGCTGGCGAGCACATGCACCCTATAGCAAAAGCTTCTCCAAAATAATAATAATAATAATAATAAGTAATTCATACTTGCTCTTAATCAGTAGAGCCAGGACTCAAATCTATGACTGAGAAATTCCACACCCCATATTGCTAATCACTGCCTCCAACATGGAGAATTTCCATCATCCAGGTGCCCCCATAGAGCCTACCTTCTTCCTGAGCCGCACCGTCTCCAACGTCATCAGTTCCGTTGTCTTTGGAAGCCGCTTTGACTATGAGGACAAGCAGTTCCTGAGCCTGCTGCGGATGATCAATGAGACTTTCATCGAGATGAGCACCCCCTGGGCACAGGTGCTCACCAGCCACCCCTCTGCTTGTCCCTCAATCTCAGTTTACTAAGCACCTACCTATTCCTCACTTAACCTCCCCCCCCATAACCCAGGAGGCAAGTGTCAGTATGCTCGAGTTTCCAAGAAGTAAAGGGCCTCACCCAATTCTCAGATCCACCATTACCTGGACTTTGGTCCCAGCTGTCTGACTCCAGACCTAGCCCTTGCTGGCCTCTGGTGCCCTTTGCTGACAAATCCCTTTTGCCCATTCCTCACAGCTATACGACATGTACTCTGGAATCATGCAATATTTGCCAGGAAGACACAATCACCTCTACTACTTGATAGAGGAGCTCAAGGACTACATTGCTTCCAAGGTCAAAATCAATGAAGCATCCTTTGATCCCCAAAACCCTCGGGACTTCATTGACTGCTTCCTCATTAAGATGCACCAGGTACTCCTCCTCCATCCTCCATCCTCTCCTCATCCCCTACTGTCAGTACCTATGAACTTTGCAAATGCTGGAAACAAAAGAGCCAGTGTTATTTCATAGGGTTTACTTTTTTAAAACATTTATTTCTGGGGCCAGCAGGTGGCATTTTGGTTAAGGACACTGGATTCCCACATGGCAGACCGTGGTTTGAGTCCCAGACCTGGTGGCTTGCTTTCTCACTTTCCCTTTCTCTCTCTCTCTGTCTCTCTCTGATCAAATTAAAAAGTAATAATAACAAACGGAATTAAATGAATAAATTATTTTTTAAAAATAAATAAAACATTTTTTTTGGGAAAGAGACCACCGACAGAACACGCTCATATCAAGATCCACTCACAGTCTCAGCCAGCCCAGATCATGTGTGTGCCACATATTCAGAGAGATCCTGGGACATGAACCTAGGACCTTTCCCACGTGGACTCAGTTGTCACCACTGCACACCAGCCCCTCACATGGTTTACTTTATCTATGGATAAGATACACAGAAACTGTAAAAGTATAAACGCTTACATCTTTGAAATAAACTTTGGAGGCCAGCAAGTGGCATGGTGGTTAAGGTATTGGATTCCATGTGGCTGACTCCATAGTTCAAGTCCTGGACCCAGTGGCCAGTAAAAGCACACCAATCTCATGCACATGTGTGCCCCTGGACTTGTTTTCCCTAAACCCTGAGAGGAAAATGGAGAAGAGATTGTGGCATAGCTATGCTCCCTAGAGGGTTATTTCTCATTTTCTCTCTCTCCCTCTCCTTCTCTCTGGTGAGTACACACATTCTCTGGCCAAAATCTAAAAATAAAATAAAGTAAGAATAAATGTTGACTCTGGAAATGTTAGGTGCATGGAAATCTAAAATATTACAGCTTTCTAATCATAACCATAACCATAGAAAAATAAAATAAATCTCAAGAATCTTAAAATTTGAGAAACTGAGAAGCTTGAAGTCTTTAAACTTAAGAAATAAAATTTGAAGTCTTAGGGGCCAGCAGATGGCATGGTGGTTAAGGCACTGGACTCCCACATGGCTAACCATGGTTTGAGTCCCAGGCTTGAAAATTATGCCAGGCACATGTGCATACATGTCCAAAACCCTGAGAGGAGAATGGAGGAGAAGGGATTGCAGTGGTAGCCACCCTCCCCAGTAGGGTGATTTCTCACTTTGCTTCTCATTGTCTCTCTCTCTGTCTCGGGCAAGTGCATGCACCCTATGACAAAAACCTTAAAAAACAAAAAAGTTCAGTCTTAGGGATGTAAAAATTTAGAAGCATATATATGTACATATGTTTTACCAGATGGCACATGTGTCTGCCAGAGAGAGAGAAAAAAGAGAGAGAGAGGAAGTAAGAAACCATTCCCCATGGGCGATGGCCATGCTACAATCCTTTCTCCTCCATCTCTCCCTACTCCTGAGATTTGGGGGATGCACACACATACACCTGGCATTCTTAAGCTGGCAAGTCCAGAACTCCAGTAACACAGCCAGCCATGCGAGATCCAACCGCCTTAACACCTTGCCTCAAGATGGCCCGTAATTTATATTTTTTATATTACAGAAACTAAGCACTTGGTAGTTTAAAAATATAGACTCCAGGGACCAGCAGTTAGCATAAAGGCTATGTCGCTGGACTCCCACGTAGCTGACCACAGTTCACGTCCCGGACCCGGTGGCTTAAACTCACGCCAGGCGCGTGTCCGTGCATGCCCAAGATCCAGAGAAGAGAATGGAGGAGAAGGGATTGCAGCTAGGGGGTGGTTTCTCGCTTTCTATCTCTCTGTCTCTCTCTCTCTCTGTCTGGTGAGCGCACACGCCCTATAGCAAAAACTTCTTTAAAAAAAATAAAGAAAAAAATATATAGACTCCAATGTCTAAAACTTCCAATCTTACAAGGCACCCTGTTTACTTTTCCTCCTATTGTCCCCACTGTTCAGTCCACTCCAACCACTGGCCCCTTCTCTGCTGTTCCTCATGTCAGACATGCACCTGTCTCCAGACCTTTGCTCTGGCTGTTTCTTCCTTCATATGTGGTTTATCCATACAGTACCTTTTCAAGAAAACTTATCTTATATTCTGGGATAAAATAAGAAAATAAAAACAGAAGCAGCTGATTTAGTTTATTATCCCTCTCACTTTCAGGATAAAAATAATCCCCACACGGAATTCAATCTTAAGAACTTGGTCCTCACCACTCTCAACCTCTTCTTTGCTGGCACAGAAACTGTGAGCTCTACACTACGCTATGGATTCTTGTTGTTAATGAAGCATCCTGAGGTAGAAGGTGAGTGTCCTCACTAAACTGCTTACCTGGCACTTCCCACTTCTAAAAGAAGGAAGACGTAATATCAAAAATGTAGATGCCTATGGCCTTCAATTCTTATTTTTTAAATTGACACTTAAGAATAGTATACATTTTCTGCCCAAGTGTCCACCAACAGGTGAATTGATAAATAAAATGTGAAATACACACACACACACACACACACACACACACACACACACACACATAATGGAATACTATTCAGCCATTAAAAAGAATGAAATCCTATCATTGAGGCAATATGGACAAGACTAGAGGACATTACATTAAGTGAATAAAAGAGACACAAAAAGAGAAATGCATTAGAGTCTTTACCCTTCAGAACCTCAGGATATGGAATCTCAAAATCCTTGGTATGAGAGGCCAGCTAACTCAATCATTCGTTTTCTATGGGTGCTATAATAAATGGCCAGAATCTTTGTTGTTTAAAGCACCACAAATTTATTATCTTATAGTTCTGGAGTTCAGAAGTCCTGACTGGCTTTTACTCAAATGAAATCAAGGTTGAATGTGTGATTCCTTTCTTTTTATAGTTTTTACTGCTGAATTCCTCAAATTCCTGAGTTTACAACTCTTCCTCTGTCTTCAAAGCCAGCAGCACAGCATCCTCAAATCTTTCTTCGATTCCATTGTCAAAGCTCCTTTTCTAATTCTGACTATTCTGTCTCTCTTTTTTTTATTTTTAGGTTTTTGCCATAGGGCATGTACACTGACCAGAGAGAGACAGAAAAAGGAAAAGTGAGAAATCACCTTTCAGGAGGGATGTCCACAATCCCTTCTCCATTCTCCTCCTGGAATTTTAGTAATGCACACACATGTGCCTGGTGTGATTTTCTTTTTTCTTTTTTGGAGAGGTTTTTGCTATACAGCACATGCGCTCGCCAGACAGACAAAGACAGAGAGCCAGAAAGCGAGAAATTACCCCCCAAGGGGGATGGCCACGCTGCAATCTCTTCCCCTCTATTCTCCTCTCGGGATCTTGGGCACGCATGCACACGTGCCCAGCGTGAGTTTAAGCCACTGGGTCCAGGACTTGAACCATGGTTGACTACATGGGAGTCCAGCAACATAGCCATTACGCCAACTGTTGGTCTCCCTGGTGTAATTTTTAAACCACCAGGTCCAGGACTCAAACTATAGTCAGCCATGTGGTAATCCAGCACCTGAACCACCATGCCACCTGCTAGTCCCTCTGTCTCTGTCTTACACCGACACATGTGATTATATTTAAAGCTAGTCTGAATAATCAAGGATAATGTCTCCATTTGGAAATGGAGATCCAGATCCCTAATTTAGTGGCATCTGCAGTCTCTTTTGTTACTCTAATATACATCGCATTCACAGAGATTAGGAGGTAATATCTATGAAGGGAATTATTTACCTGACTGCCCTGTCAAAATCAAATGTAATTCATGGCCAATAAATACAATCTGATCTGGTTTGGTAATTCCAATAATAGGTAATGTATTACTTGCTTAAGGAAAATCCCCAGTGTGGCCTCTCTCTCTACTAATGTGGTTCAAAATAAGTCAAAGGGAGAAGATTCCTCCATTCTGCTGAGAACAAGTTATTTCAGGAAATAAGAGAAATGAAGATTTTCTACTGACAATTCAGCCTCCAGCCCCCAGTCTTGAGTGGTAGGATGCCCCTCTATCCTCTCTGTCTCTCTCTGTCTCTCTCTGCCTCTCTCTGTCTTCTCATTTTTTATAATTTTTTCTTTTTAAAATTTTTTTTGCTTTTTAAAATATAATAATTAGGGGGGTTCTTCTCTCTCTGTTTTCTTATTCTCTTTCTTTTTATCTCATCACTTTGCTGCTCAATCTCCATTCACTGAGTGTCTAGACAGATCTAAGGGAATCATAACCAAATATCCAAATGCTATTAGGGTTAACGTATTCCTCAATACCCATTGAATCTGCTGCACAAAGGGATAACAACAGAACCACAAAGAGATTGCAGATCACCTCCTGCATGCTCCTGAACGCTCAGATTGAACTTCAAGAATTAGGAAGAAACACACAATCCATCAGATGACTAGAAATTACCACAGGGTCACAAGAAATATGAGAAAGCAAGAAAATGCCTCTCCTCCAAGAGAAAAGAATAACTCCTCTTCATCCACAGACAGTTCAATGGAAATCATGGAAATGTCGGATGAAGAATTTATAGTGCCAAAGTTAACAGAGATGCAAGAGAGACAACGAACTCCAGAAGAGGCAGGAGAATAGAACCGAGGAGTTCCAGGAGGTGAGAAAGTTCTTGCATGATCTGAAAGAGGAAACACATACAATAAAAAAGAATCAAACAGAACTGTTAGAGATGAAGACTGTAATATAGGAAATCAAAGCCTCCCTTGAAAGTATTAAGAGCAGACTAGGTCATATAAAAGATCAAATCTCAGATGTAGAAAATAGAATTTCTGGCCTAAAAATATCCACTACAAAGACTGAGAAAATAGTCCAAAAAGATTAGAATATCGAGAAATACTAGCTACCATCAAACATCCAAACATCCAGATAATTGGTATCCTAGAAGGCTTAGAGACTCATAAGGATAATCTATTCCATGAAATCCCGGAAGAAAACTTTTCAAAGCTAGAGAGGCATTCAAAGATCCAGACCCAAAAAATACATAGGACCCCAAGTAGAATCAACCCAAGAAAATCTTCTCCAAGACACATTATAGCCAGATTGACCAAAATCACAGACAAAGACAAAGTACTCAGACTGGCAAGAGAGAAATGACAAGTTACCTACAACTGATATCCCATCAGGCTAACAGCAGACCTCTCATTGGAAACAATGTAAGTAAGGGAAGAATGAGAAAATATATGCAAAGTGTTGAGTGAAAAACAATTTCAACAAAGAATACTATACCCAGCAAGATTATCCTTCATATGGAAAGAGAAGACAAGAACATCCTCAGATAAACAAAACCTGAAAGACTTTACCAACACCAGACCATTTCTCCAAGAAGTTCTGAAAGGAGTGCTATACCAGCAAAATTAAATACAGACACACAGAAATAAGAGTTACAAAAACATCTAAGAAAAGGGCTAATGGTAGGGACAAATCTGGAGTTGAATATTATCTTCCAGAAGTTAAACGGAAAGCTTGGACGACAACAGAAGTTAGATTTAGTACATGAGACTGAGCTGATGAAATAGAGTTTTATGGCTTTTGACTAAAACAATACTGATCTTTTTCTATGCTTTGTAGTCTGGGGGTAAGGATTTTTTTTCTCTTGAATTGTTGACAGATCCAGGTAACTACTATTTGAACAGAATCCTAACCTGCTTCCTGGCTTTAAGTCTTAAGCAAAGTTCTCTTAACATTTTTTGATTTTATTAAAGCTAAAACTGCCTTTCTTGAAATTAAAAAACATATTAATGGGGCCCAGCAGTTAGTGTAATGGCTATGTCACTGGACTTCTGGACTCAGTGGCTTAAACTCATGCCGGGCGCATGTGCATGCATGCCCAGGATCCCAAGAGGAAGATGGAGGAGAAGGGATTGCAGCATGGCCTTCCCCCCTGGGGGGTGATTTCTCATTTTCTGTCTCTCTGTCTCTCTCTGTCTTTCTGGCGAGTGCACATGCCTTCTAGGAGAACCTCTCAAAATAAAATAAAATAAAAAACATGTTAAAAAATACCTATTTAATGACCACAGTAAGCTATATAGCCTCAGCTAGGTGCTATTTTATAGTATATTAATTCTACTCAGTTTCATGCCTAAAGTCAAGCATTTGTTTACAGATACTTATATATCAGCTACTGAACATAGTTAGATCAATTAAGATATTTTGTTAGCCAATAAAATGTGGGAGAAAATAAAAAAGGAATAGAAAGCAACTGCAGATACCAGAGATACAGTGGGAGGAGAGTGGGATATGGCAGAAAGTGAGAAATGGGGGAGGGAGAATATATGTATATATGTTATATAATACATATATGTGTGTGTGTATATATGTATGTGTGTGTGTATATATATATATATGTATATACATATATATATACATATATATATATATATAAAACAAGAAATGGAAAATTATTTGTGATGATAACATGTGTGACTAAGCCACTATACAGTGTGTTCTGAATGGGAAACTGCATCTTGTATGCTGTGATGATGTTCAGTGAATGAATGCAAAATAAATATTTCATATAAAAATATTTCATATAAAAAAAGGTCAGGATTTCTCCTGGTGCAGATGATGAAGGACTCTACCCCATTTCTACTCAAAGTTTTCTGGTCTCACCTCTATTGTCTACATTGTCTTTTACTTATCTAAATGACCAAATATTGATGAGACATTTTCAATGTGCCGGGGACTATCCCACTTACTTGCATACTGAATTTTATGCAATGTTTACAACTCTATGGCCTTGGCAGGTCATCAAAGTCATTTTGCAGATGAAGAAATAGAGGCTCAGAAGGTGAAGTCATTTGTTCCAAGGTCACTCACCTGTAAATTGCAGAGAGGAGTAACTCCACCAACGGTGCTCTTGATCACTGCTTGTCATTTGCTTTAATTCTTCCTAGTTAATTATTGAAACTCTTCCCCGTTCTGTCAAAAATATGTGGTGTATCAAAGGCCAGCTGGCACAGCGCACTGCCCTGTCAGCCTTCCGTGGTTCCTCAGGCTTTCAAGTAAAAACCAAATATCCCAGCTGGCATTCAAGGTTCCAGGTTGTGTGCCTCCCAGTGTCTAATGCATATTTATTAAGTGCCACCCCTGTGACAATTGTTACATATAAAGAGATGACCCAAATGCACATGGCTTGTACCCTCAGAGCTCACTTTCTTATGGAGATAGAGATGAATGGCCCACCCTGGCTTCTCTAACAGAAACACTTCTGGCCCTTTCCTGTGTTCTCTGATATGTTTCATGGCTTCTTCCAGCCAAGATCTATGAAGAGATTAACCACGTAATTGGACCACACCGAATTCCAAGTGTGGACGACCGGGTCAAGATGCCCTTCACAGATGCCGTGATCCATGAGATACAGAGACTGACAGACATTGTGCCCCTGGGTGTCCCCCATCACGTCATCCGGGACACTCATTTCCGAGGTTACCTTCTTCCCAAGGTGGGGTTACACTCTCATTGTTGCCACTGCACCCCCTCCTTCTTCCAGATCCCTACCACCAGAACCTAATACCAATTTCTCCTGATTGCCTCCATCTTCACTCCAGGGCACAGATGTCTTTCCTCTTCTTGGCTCAGTCCTCAGAGACCCCAAATACTTCCGCTACCCAGATGCCTTCTATCCCCAACACTTCCTGGATGAGCAGGGCCGCTTCAAGAAGAACGAAGCCTTTGTGCCTTTTTCCTCTGGTAGGTTTCTATAGTCTAGCTTTCCCCCAGATAAATGCTAGATACAACCACTACCATTTGTATGTATTTGAAGTTCAAGTTAGAATGAGAGGCTGAGGACTACATCATAGAATCATAATATCCTAGAATCCCCAAATCAAGAATACTAAAATGATTCTGACCATTAAAAAAATTGTTAGAACAGTAATAGCATTAAAAAGAGGGTCAAAGAGACCAGCAGTTAGCGTAATGACTATGTCGCTGGGCTCCCATGTAGTCGACCGCAGTTCGAGTCCCGGACCCGGTGACTTAAACTCACACCAGGCGTATGTGTGTGCATGCCCAAGATCCTGAGAGGAAAATGGAGGAGAAGAGGTTGCAGTGTGACCATCCCCCCCAGGGGGGGTAAATTTCTCACTGTCTCTCTGTCTCTGTCTGTCTTTCTGGTGAGTGCACGCGCCCTATAGCAAAAACCTCTCCAAAAAAAAAGAAGGTCAAAGAACTTTTTCTTTTCAGGACCAAATAGAAAATGTTTCAGGTTTTGCCAATTGTACATTCACTATCTGATCTTCTTACCTCTGCCATCATATTACAAAAGCAGCTATCAATAATACGTAAATGAACACACACGTATATGAGCCTGAAAAACTTTTAAGGACAAAAATTTTTCACATATCATAAAATCTTACTCTTCAGACTCTTTTTAACCATTAAAATGCAAAAAGAATACCTAGTTTTCTGCCTGTATGAACATAAGCATCAGCGTAGATTTGCCCAACATGTGGTAGTTTGCCAATCCATGGTATAAAATAGTAAGCAGTAGCATTTTAAGTGTGTGTCCATTGGAACTAGGAGTCAAGGTAGTGACTGGAAAATTAAACTCCACTCCACCATTTACAAAGGAGTGCATTACTTCAGCTCCCCATCTGTGAAATAGAGATTAATCTCAAAAAAAATTGAAAGCCTAACAAACCATAAGCATAATTTAAGTGTGAGCTATCTTTTTTTCCCTTTCAGGGGTGGGAAGGCATCCTCCACAGAGTATGTGTCCTGTAGTCCTACAGCTTGTCAGATCCTGGTCACTTGCATGTGTCTGACATGTTCCAAGCTGACTTGTCCAGGGATTCGAAACACAGAGCCCATGTAGGGTCTGGTTTATCTTGAGCCTTACATTCCCACTGTGCCATGGAGCTGGCCCTCTTCCTCCCATCACCACCAATGTTTGATACTTAGTAGGGGTTTGATAAATCTTTAAGGAATTGAAATGAACAGAACCTTGAAATTCATGGATCTTTTAGAACCAATCCATCTTGAAATGGGATAAAATCTGAGCTGTGGAAGAAGTAGTTGCCGCTTAGTGAGCTCTCGTGTCAGGTCCTAGCTGAGTGTAGAATGTAGAAACCTACTGAGCTTATTTATTTATTTTTGGTTTTTGCCATAAGCAAGCACTTGCTGGAGACAGAGAGAGAGAGAGAAAGTGAGAAATCACTCCCACCCCTGGCAGGGATGGCTATGCCACAACCCCTTCTTCATTCTCCTCTCAGGATTTTGGGCATGCATGCACACACACCCAGTAGGTGGCACTGAGTCCAAGGCTAGAACCGCAGTTGGCCAAGCAGGAGTCCAGTGCCTTAACCCCCATGCCACCTGCAACCCATGCCCCCCGCCCATGGAACTTTTATAGAAACCCTATAAAATAATATAATTATGTATGATCCCTGAGATGCTGATGAGGCAGCTGATGCTCACTGAAGTGGTCAGGGCCAGATTGCTCCCCACATCCTCATTATCTGTGCAGGTGGGACCTACTCTTCTACCTTCCTCTGTGCTTGCAGGAAAGCGCATCTGCCTAGGTGAGGCCATGGCCCGCATGGAACTCTTTATCTACTTCACCTCCATCCTTCAGAACTTCTCTCTCAAGCCACTGGTGCCACCCGCTGAGATTGATGTCACTCCCAAGATCTCGGGTTTTGGCAACATCCCTCCAACCTATGAGTTATGCCTCATAGCCCGCTAAACACCTTCTACTGGGCAAGGAAGGAACCATGGAAGAACAGAGCTCTGCCCACACATTCATGTGGATCCATTCTTCTCATATTAATAATTTTTGCAACATCCTTAAGAGGCACATATAGTCATATAACTTCAATATCCAGTAGAAGAGCAATCAATACTCTGTCCAAGATTTTTGCCTAAGCCTACAGGTTTTATGTTCATTTGATCACCTTTGTCTAGATTTTTGTATGCACCAAATGCTTGTTATAGAGTCACTGTTTTTATGTTGTCCCTTTGTCTTCACCCTTATATGAACATGTATCCCTCAGTCTTTTCTCTTGATTCTCATCTTTACCCGCCAATCCCCAAAAAAAGTCAACAAAAAACTCAACTATTGTATGTACCATGTTTATTGCATATTGTATTTGATACCAACGTAGGGCACAACGAACAGCTTGTGATGGCCCTTTTGACTTCTTTTTTATTATCTTTTCTGCCAGTCCACTTCCAATGAGTTACCACTGGTTGGGTCACTCCATGAATACACCAGTTTCAACGATCGTTCTCATTCATTACTTGTACCCACCATCATCTTTTCATCTACTCCCAGTTCCAAATACTCCCCACTCCCTTTTCAAGATAATTCAGTTGCTCATAGCTTCTAGTATTCTACTTTGAAGTGCTATAAATTTGGTCAGCTGATGAACACTTTTCCTCATATTGAATTTATCAACCAATATTTATTATTTTAATTTTTTTATTTTTAATTAATTAATTTACATTCATTCCCTGAGCATCATCACAGCACACAAAATGTGATTTCCCATCCAGAATATACTGCATAGTGGCTTAACAATATCTGTTATCGTCAATAATTTTCCATTTCTAGTTTCATATATATATACACACACACACACACACACACACACACAGATAAATATATTTCTCATCTTCTGCCATTTACGACCCTCCTTCCACACTATCTCAGGTGTCTACAGTTGTTTTCCATTCCTTTTCCCCCCACATTTTATTGATTCACATTTCTTAAATAATCTATTTTCAATAGCAAGTTCAGCTGGTATATACATATCTGTGAAGACATGTCTGACTTTAGGCATGAAACTCTGAGTGGAGTTAATATGCTATAAGGTAACACCTGGCTGATGCTATATAGCTTACTATGGTCATGAAATAGGTATTTTTAATATATTTTTAATTTTAAGAAAAGAAATTTTACCTTTAATAAATCAAAGAAATGCTAAAGAACTTTGCTTTATTAAAACCTGAGGCCAGGAAACAGGTTAGGATTCTGTTCAAATAGGAGATATATGAACCCATCTACAGCTTAAAACAGGACAAAAATCCTTAAAACTGGAAAACAAAGCCTAGGAGAAAATCAGTGATGTTTTAGTCAAAAGTCAAACAATTCTGTTTCACCAGTTCAGTTTCATGTACTTAATCTATCTTCTGTTGTGGTTCAATCTTCCCAATTAAATTCTGGGATATAATATTCAGCTCCGGACTTGCCCCTATGATTAAATTGGCCATTTTCTGAGTTTTTGAACTCTTATTTCTGTTTGTGTATGTACTTCATTTTCCTGATATAGCACTCCCTTGAGAACTTCTTGGAGATCTGGTGTGGTGCTGGTAAATTCTTTTAGGTTTTGTTTATCTGAGAATGTTCTTGTCTTTTCTTCCCATATGAAGTATAACCTTGCCGGGTACAATATTCTTGGTTGAAAATGCTTTTCCCTTAATGCTTTGAATATATTTTCCCATTCTTTCCTGGCTTGCATTGTTTCCAGTGAGAGGTCTGCTATTAGTCTGATGGGATATTCTTTGTAGGTAACTTGACATTTCTCTCTTGCCAATCTTAGTATCTTGTCTTTGTGGTTTTGGTAATAAAAATTATTACCATTTATATTACTATCATTTAACTGTGAAAGACTATATGTATCTGTTGCTCTTCTTAGCATTTTCATGTCAGGTTTTCAGCATTCCCCTAATAAGAATTTCTCATACTGCTCCCCCATGAGATATAGATATCACCTTTTTTTTTCAAACTTTGTAAATTTAATGAGCCAGAAATAGTGACATATTGTGGTATAAAATTTAGTTGCTTTCATGTGTTCTTATGCTTTACATTTATACCTTTATGAGTTGTCAATTTATTTTTTTAGAATTACTTATTTAATTTTATTTATCATTATTTTTTTTAATTTGCTATAGGATTACCTGTGCTCACCAGAGAGAGAGAGTGATAAAGCAAGCTGCCAGGTCTGGGACTTGAACTGTGGTCACCTATGTGGGAGTCTAGCACCCTATAATCACCATGCTACCTGTGGGCCTTTTCGATTTATTTTCTTATACAGGTACCTAGTCTACATTCAGAACTTTTAAATAGAGATAGAGACAAAGAGAAAGAGGCATTTTTCACAGGTCTCATCATACCGTAATTCTCCCACCTCAGCCTCCCAGTTAGGATTATAGCCCTGCAATGCCATGGTCAACACATCTAGGTTGGCACAAAATTCTAACCTTGGCCTGCGGGGTGACTCCAGCATATCACCCATGGTCCCATATTGCCTGTGCCACCACAGCTGGGCCTACATTCAGAATTTTCTTCATTGATTCTATAAGCTTGTTGTGAAATGAATATGTTAACCTCCATTTTGGTTGTTGGCTTAAGAGACTTCAGTTTATGCTCTTGCCCCTGAATTTTGATTTTATTTATTTATTTATTTTGCCAGAGAGCATGTGCACTTACCAGACAGAGACACAGAGAGGGAGTGGGCGAAAGCATCCTCCACATGGGGTATGGTCATACCACAATCCTTTCTCTTCCATCTCTTCACTCTGTCAGGATTTGGGGCATCCACACACATGTGCCTGGCATGCCTTTCAAGCCACACCAGTCGGGACACCAATCACTCAGTAGGTCAAGTGGGATCCAGCTCCTTTAACCACCAGGACCCAAAACCAGTCCTCAATTTTTGGGGGGAAGGGAGACAAGAAAACTATTTTTTATAAAATTGGGGGGGGGATTTGTCTAATTATATCTAATTTTAGTAATACCTTCTCTTCGTACATACTTTTGGACTCAAGTATTACACTTTAAGAAGTGTACAAGATAGATTACAAAAGTATTCAACAATACTTTTTTTAAGAATTATTTCATGTTATTTATTCAGTCATCTATTTTAATTTGACTAGAGAGAGACATAGAGAGAGAGAGGAAAAGTGAGAAAGCAAGCCACCAGGTATGGGACTCAAACCGTGGTTGGCCATGTGGGTGTGTCCAGAGTCTTAACCACCATGCCACCTGCTGGTTCCCAACAATACTTATTTTTTAAAAAAAGGGAAGAGCTCTATACAGAGATAGATTCTTTAAAAAAGGAATCAAACAGAACTTCTGAAGATACAACAGAGAAAATTGATACCTCTCTTGAAAGTATTAACAAGAGATTAGACCACGCAGAATAAATAATTTCCATGCTTGAAGATAAAATCTCCAATTTAGTCCTAGTTACCAAAAAGAATGAAAAAAGAACCATTAAAAGTGAGGACAGCAGAGAAGCCGGTTGGAGTGTGAGTGGTTTTGTTTCTCCAGAAACTAACAGAAATTCTCAGGGAGATTCTTCAGTCACTATGTCAACCAAAAAGGCTTCTCTCCCTTCATATGATGAAGATCAGGGATCCAAACTTATCCAAAAAGCTAAAGAGGCACCATTTGTGCCTGTTGGAATGACAGGTTTTGCAGCAATTGTTGCATATGGACTATACAAATTGAAGAGTTGGGGAAATACTAAAATGTCCATTTACCTGATCCACATGTGTGTGGCAACCCTAGGCTTTGTTGTGGAAGCAATGACTCTTGGTATGGGCTATCCCATGTATCAGGAATTGTGGGCTATACCTAAACCTTAGAGAAAGAGATGCTATCTTGGTCTACATGGATGTGCTTGCTTTAGTTAGACATCTCATATTGAGATTACATGTTTGTGTCAAAAACAAATCATTTGATGGGTTCAGATAAGGTATTTTGAATATTGGCTTCTTATCTCACAGACCTGATTTGCCTTGTGACCAAAATTATAAGTGACTAATTCACTAGCTACGTCATTCAGGAAAGTCAAGTTAACATTATAGAAACCTGTCACCCAAATGTGCTCTGTAGTGTTAAAATCTCCACCTTCTTAAACCCTTATGAAACTAGTTCTAAAGATGACTACAGACTAACCTTGAAGTACTACCAGTTTGCTGCAGAATATCTCCTGCTTTGGGTGTTATGCAGGAGTCTTGTTTATCCCAGCTAATTTAACCTTTCTCTGTGTGCCTTGTGGTCTCATTGTGTACTTCAGGTTTTAGGATGGTTGGCTCTTGGAGAACTGTTTTGAAAGAGTGCATGGACTATAATTTGTAAAGCCTCCTTTAAGTGATGTGTATATGTGTTTAAACCAAACCTAGAAAGCTTGCAGTGGGACTGCAGAGTAGTATTTATCTTATAATCACACTTGTAAACATGAGAAAAACTTAATTATGAATTCTATGTGAGCTCTTTTTTTTTTTTTTTTTTTTTGAGAGGTTTTTGCTATAGGACAGACAGAGACAGACAGAGAGATAGAAAGCAAGAAATCACCCCCAGAGGGGATGGTCACGCTGCAATCCCTTCTCCTTCATTCTCCTCTCGGGATCTTGGGCACGCACACACACGCGCCCGGTGTGAGTTTAAGCCACCAGGTCCGGGACTCGAACAGCGGTCAACTACGTGGGAGTCCAGCGACATAGCCATTATGCTAACTGCTGGTCCCTAGTTTAGCTCTTTTGTAATTGCAGAATTATATTTTTGACACTTTTAGATTAGAATAATTTTTAAATGTCATCTTGGAATAGAAATATGTATTTTAAGTATGAACACAAAGCTAAATGGAGAATACTTTTTAAATGTATGCAGTATATTTCTTTTCTCTGTAAAACAAAACATATTACCTATAATGAAAGTGATTAATGATTTATAAGCAA